AGATGGTTAATAAAGGACTCCACCAGCTCGGCAGCTGCATGCCACGTACAGCATCTCCAGGCTTTCTTTTCCAGCAAAGAAAACAGCCTGCTTAAAATACATACCCTATTTTGGAGGGCTGATTTATTTGTGAACAAGGGGCGTGTAGTAAAAATATGGTACCCCAGTATACAGGGGTTGAACTTTGTTGTACTGGTGTAGCCAAGGCAGTGCAACTTGTGCAAGCAGGTAATGCATCCAGGGTTGCATCTGAAGAAGTACCTGAATAGCTAACCATGCAGGCAGATATTTAGGGAAATTTTCAAAAGTGCTTACAAACTTATGGAAGTCAATGAGGCACCTAGCTGTTTTTGAAAATCCCAATAGTTCCTTATCTGGTTCTGTGGGTAACTGCATGTGTTTAAAATGTTTGCATTTGTTTACATTCAAATAATGCTGTCCACATAATACTGGTATTTGTAGCATAAGCGCAGGCCAAAAATATATTATGTCAGTGCTTTTGTGAAGATGATTAACAATTAAATTTAATTTCCTCTTTAAAGTACCTCTGATTTCAGAAATGCATTTAAATGTTCATTGGGTGGGAAATTATTCCCTGTTAGTAACATTAGTACCATATTTCAACAAACTCTATTCCATTGAGAAACTTCCAAGTAAACACCATATTAGCTATTATAGCCATCACATCTCTATACACCAACGTCCCCCATAAAATGGATTACAAGTCATAAGGAACATTATCCCCCAACAATGGCACTGCTTCTGTTTCCATCAAAGTCTCCTGCTTCGTCCTTGCACACAACTATTTCAAACTTGGAGTCTCATTACACCTACAAGCGAATGGCGCTGTCATAGGCGCACACATGCCCCACTCCCCTCCGTACACCAATATATTTATGACAGATCCCCATGAAAAGGATAACACAGTCCTGTTACAATTACAGTTCCCAAGCTTAAATACTTTAGACCAGGGCTTCTCAACCAGAGGGCTGAGACAAAACCTTTCTTTTTGCAGTCCACTCACAGCATCTGATGAAGTTGTTGCCTACAAAAGCTCATGCCTCTCTGAACCAGCCAGTCTTTAAGGTACCAATGTGCCCTACCTTCTTCCATAGCAACATTCTTTCTACAATACAGGGTATTATCCGTCTTGATGGCCAATTTTTTTTTCTGGTCCTGTCCACCGAGGAAACAAGAATCTAGCCTCCAAATGGGTAAGATTTAACAGGTAAGCTATGAAGAGCTTCACAACACCAAAAGCCAAGAATGCTTATCAGATGGAAGATGATGCTGATGACGAGCGTGGTCTGATAATAGCAAAATGCTCACTTGAGAAACAGACTGCTGTAGCCCTCGTTAAAGGGGCATCTCTCTTTCCTAGAACAGCATGCTTGGAAAGTTTCTAGTACAAGGGCTGGCAACCTACTGCCCATGGGCCAGGATCTGGCTCACAAAGCTGAGGGGTTTCTTGCAGCATTTCGGCAGCATAGGCTTTGACCAGGTGGCCAGAAGCAGCAAAAGTGGCACCTTAGGGGAAAGCAGTGACTGGCTGTGGCTCTGGTAGCACTGACCTGGTTGGAAGTGGCCTGTGCTCATAGCCAAGCTCCACTAATACTGCCCCTCACTGCCATGCATTTGGTACCACCCGTTGTATCACACAAGTCTTACACTGGAATTCGGGGGGGCACCCATCAATCCGGGGGCAGCGGCAGCTGAAGTAGCAGGGCCATGAAAGGGGGGGCACCCTCCTACAGCAAGGCATAAGCCCAGAAAATTTGGGAAATGTTGCCTTACTCCCTTAGTCTATGTACTTACAGCACACATGCAACTCATTCGCTGCAGGTTGACAACTGCAACCGATTTACTATAAATAGGCAATAATTAGGAACCTTACACCTCCAAAGAAACTCCAGTCTTCGGCTCTAAATCCCTGCAAGAATTTCACGACTGTTTGTATTCAATGGGACACAGGACATTGAATGGAGGCACCTTGAAAAGAATCCCCAATAGCAGACATGTAATCATATGTTTCAACATAGAGCTGTTTACACCATGGCTTTATCAACAATTACTGTGTAGTGAATGATTGATCACTTCAATGGCATGGTATTTCTGCTGCTGCTTAGGTAATTAATTTTGTTTGTAATGGAATATGGACACTGACAAACCGCTAGTGCCCAGGCAATGGTTGAACAAGAGCTTGTTTGCCAGTTTGTAGTACAATCATGGTCAAACTAAATGGCTTTTCAGAATCCAACCCATTGATGGAAAACAATGGTTTTGATGCATTTCAACAGTCTGTCACAAAGCTTTCCAGTGACATTTTCTGCAGAATAAGCTTTCAATTTAGGTTTCACTTCATTCTCTCTTGTTGTGACAATAAGCTCCACTATACAACTGTTATGTTAAACATGCACGTTCCCAACTGTACATCTCTGAAGTCTTCAGTAAGCGCACTGAAAATCTCCTTCAGCAGGGAACTTCTATAATGTGAAATCAGTTCCTCCTCCATATTAGTCTTCTGGCAGTTTATGTTAAATTAAGAACTGATTAAAGATTAAGAACAATCTTAAATAAGCATTCTTAGTGTCCAATTGCTTTTACGCTTTGAGGGCAGTGATGAACTTCTGGGGCTTGTCAGCACTAAACTTTTCTATACGCATTATGGGGGTTCCTCCCCCCAATTCCTTACCGAGAACCCAAACAGTTCTGGGACATGGTCAGAGAGAGAAAAGTTACTTACCTGGATGAAAACTGGAGCTCTTTGAGATGTAGTCTGTATTTATATATACTGCTCTCAGTGCAATGACCCATTTTTTTGCATTGCTCTCAGTGCAATAATCAGTTTTTTGGCCAGCAGCATCGATAGGATCACATGTTCATCTTAAATGGCTTCATATTCCTGCAAAAAGGGCCAAAAATGTGGTGCAGGGCCAAGTGCTACTCAGGAAAAAAAGCTATTTTGAAAGGTAGGAGACTCAATCCATCATTACAGTTAATTCATGACAACTAGCCCAGAATAGTTGTTTACTTGTGAATATGGAGTGGGATAATAACCATCTATTGCAATCAATGCCTTTTTCTAGAAGGGGATCTTTGCAGGGGAAAAAAGTGGTTGGTGTTATCTTCTATCTAGTTTGCAAAAGGTCTACTCTTGGTTTCTTTTGTGTACAGGTGTGCAGACCCCAAGGCAGCAGAGTGGTACGGGACATTTGGAAGGGCAAACAACATCATCAGTCTTTGTACTGACCAAACTGAACTTTTCCAACTGAAAATCCTTGAACCCTACGGCCAAGGTCCCATAAATTGAGGAAGCACCTGCAGTATCTAGAGCCTTTTGCAAAGACATTCTTACTACCACTGTCAAAACTAGGGTCTTAAAAACTCTTCTCAATTTTGTGGCAACTTATCAATGAAATGAAAACAACACTGATGTATGAACTCTTAAAATGCACGCAGAGAATTTTAAGTTTTAAATTGTACACTTGTAAAGATGTGAATTTTAAACAAAAAAAAAAGTAAGATGTTTTAGCCTCTCAGCTGGAGTCAACTTTGTTTGACACTTTTTTTGGTAGCTGCCACATTTATTAAAAAGCCTGGTAAATAAAGGAATTCTGCTTCACAGCAGTGCAAAACTCACTTTGGAGCCTGAGGCTTGATCTAGACTGCAAGGATCCTTGTGGCCAGGATCCACCCTGGGGGAGCTACGACAGCGGCAGGTCTAGGGGCAGTGAGGAGTCTGGCAGAAGTGGTGGCAAGGGGTCCCGATGTGGGGAGTCCACTGGTGGTAGGAGGGGTCCCCCAGTACTGCCAATGGGTCTGGGGTCAGTAGCAAGCCAAAGAACCCCAAATTCCATAGCAGACCATGGCCCCAGCATTCAGTGACTAGCTGGTAGCCCAGCAGACCAGACAGTGGCTCTGTGGGGTGGATCTGGACTGGGGGCTGCATGTTTGATAGGCCAGGTGCATGGGGTTTTTTGTTTTTTAATCTGCCTACTCTGAAGTTCAAAAAACTAATCCAGGTCTTTGCAGAGCATTCTTGGCAAAGAATAAAAAAAATTTAAAAAAATCACGAAGAGAAAGCCAAATAGTTGGATGCGGCAATATGAACAATGCCCAACAAACGAGGAAGTACTGGTGGCTCCTCTGAAATGGGATCTGGAGAAATTCCGCAACTTTCATATTCTGGAAGCCGTTATAGTTAATCTGGATGAGAATCACCATCTCATCCAAAGATGCTTTTAGATCCTCGTTCTGGAGCTGTCCCTCAGCCCAGGAATTATTTCTGCTGGCACAGGAATATGTGAGGACAGGAGGTTGGGGTGGTCTTTGTCTCCGAGCAGATGAGAAGACTCTTCCCCTAAACTGTAACATAAGCAGGACAGCCACGGAAAAGACACTGAGATTCTGGTAGGGCCATGATGGTACATTACATTTGGAGCTGGGATTCAAGAAAACAAGGACTAGATGTGCACCCGCATAACTCCTGCGGTGCTTAGGCTAAGAACAAGCAGTTTAAGAATGACAGAGGTTCTCGGAGGTTTAATCAGCTTAAGAATGAAGGAGGCTGCTCAGTTACAAACTTCTTTAAATTTCTTTTTGCACCCCAGTTTGTAAGATCTTGTGGGATATTACTATACAAGCAACATACCATGCAGTGCAAATCAAGGCCTTAAGACAACATGTAAAGTTTTAACTCAGAAAGTGGCTCAACTTCAGTGCTCGTAATGAAACAGCAGAATTTTCACTATATAAAATTTATAAAAAAATTTATTCTTTGTAAAAATTCAAAAGCACGAAAGACATCTCACTCAAAATACTGGTAAATCAAACCACACTTAGAAAAATGAAAGCTGATTTTATTATCTTAACCACAGCCAATCATTTGACATGAACATGCATACGTATTTTGCTACGCACACACCACAGTTTTTAACGTTAGTTATTAAAGGTTAAACATACAACATACACCCTTACAAAAATGAGTCAAAATGCAAACGTAACTTTTAAACAAAACCATTTTTACTCATTTAAAAAAACCTTTGTGTTGGGTACCATTTTGTACAAACACATTTAATTTAAACAAATCTGTTCTTACATTTCCTCATGGTTGCACATGAAAATAAGCTGCAATAGAAAATGAAGTCATTTTTAAATAGCAGAAATAGGCAGTTTTGCCATGCAGAAGAAGCAATATTAAATATTAGTTTTTTCCAAAAAAAACAAAAAAAAGAAATAACCACAAGTTTAAAAATATTTAGTTCAAGTCACAGAACTTTCTCCAGTACAGAGAAATGCAAATGCAATGCATAATTAGCTGCCACTTAAGATGGCTGTTCTGAAAAGTAAAAATTACATCCCAGAATTCATAATTTCTTATTGATTTGGCACAGAAAAGAAGTCTGAGCTTACTGAAGAACAAGAACATATGATTAAAAAAAGGAAGAGAGGAAGAGAAAAGAAAATAGAAAGCAAGGATGAATGAAATAGTAGTTGCAATCACTAAAAAAGTGTGTGCATCTCAGTCATTGCAGAACACTGTTTTCTGTTTTCAGCAGTTCCTAATTCCAGGTAATTGTTATTGCAACATAGATTTAATTTGCTTGGAGGTAGTCTCATCATTCAAATGCTTTGTTGTGTACCTAATAATGAAAAAGCACATTTTACAAAAGCATAATTCAATTTTTGTTTTCCTAAAGCAGTGTTGTGCAACTGGTGGCCCACAGGCCAGGTGTGGCCCCTCCAGGAGTTACGGCTTCCGGCACGGGCACTGCTATCCCCACTGTTTTTCTGTTGCTGCTGCCAGAGTCTCTGGGCTCCCCCCTCCAGTTTCTACTTCTTGCCTCCTCCCCTGCCACAGGCAGAAGAAGCCTGTGACCAGTGTCTTGGAGTAAAACAAGGTCACTGATGAAAAGAACCTTTTTTTTTTTTTTTTTTGGTTACAGTAAACCCTTCCCAGAGGGTAGGAAGACATATTACAAGTTACTCTATTCTAACAGTTCAGACTACTTCAGAAAATTCAGTTTATAAAGATACTAAACCAAAAAAACACTGCCCTGTTACTAAAAGGGAATTTTAATGGATCCCTAACATGAATTTGGGGAGCCCTCTGATCCCATTCAGACTGGACATGCTAGAAGAAGTGAGGAGTGCCAATGCATAAGAGACTGTTACACTATTATTCAGTATGTTCAAAAATCCTCATTAGGGCAGTGATTCTCAAATCAGGGTGTTGGGAGGTAGGGGTAAGGGGACTGTTATAAACTCTGATGTATTTTGAGGTGTTTGTGGGATTGTCATGCATGTTTTCTTGAGTTTGTTTTACTGCTACAGTGCATGCAGTCTTGCTGAAAAGCTGATGTTATGCTGAATTCCTTTATCACTGCATGGATTATGACATGCTGTCTGTATGCATCTTTGTAATACAGGGACATAGTTTAGTCAAAGGAACTGAGAGATGCAGACTTAAGGAAAAATGGAGGAGGCAAACTAGCCCACGGATCTCTTGCCATTTTGTTACTAGGGCAAAAGCAATCACCCTTCCCGAACACCGGCAGAAGGGACTATTGCTGGGTACTGCCTGCCTGTCAGGGGGAAACGACAGCAACGACCAGCCCCACAATAGCAAAGGCTTCTCAGAGAAATGAGTCATAAGCTAGGGCAGGGGCAGGCAATTATTTTGGGTGGAGAGCCACTTAACAAGGTTTGGTTAGCTATCAAGGGCCACATGAGTAGCCCCGCCCCCTGGTCGCCATCTTGGGACTGGAAGTCCCGCCCCTAATCCCTGGCCTTTGCCACTGCAAGTCCCTCCCCTTGCCCTCCAGAAATACTCCTTTTGGGACGGAGGGTTGCCATCTTAGAAGCAGAAAAATGCCAAAACATACACTGAAAGTCAAAATACCTACTATAACATTTTAATTTTATTACAAAAAATAGTTTTGTCATGACCTGTGTTTGTGTAACGTATATAGAGGAGATTGCATAATAACTCAAAAATAAATTCTTAGTCTTTTATAGCATGTGCATGGTGGGGGGAGTGTGGGGCAGTTTGAGAGATGGTGGGGCTGTGTGTTGGGGAGCACAGGGTATGCTGGGGGGGTTATGTGCTGTGGGTGTGTGGCCCTGAAACACGCTGTCCTCTCCTGCAGTCAATGCAGGCAGCACTGAGGTGTGGGTGTGTGGCATTTGTGGGGATCCCACGGTGCAGCAGCAGGCAGGGGCGCTGGTGCCCAGCTCTGGCCAGTGCAGCACATTGCAGCAAGGAGCACAGCCCTTGCCAGGCAGTCTCTATTGCCAGTGCTCCCAGCACTTGCGCAGCATGGGAGGGAAGTCCCAGGCACTGGAGCTGGCTCCCCCATGTTGCTGCTGCTACTCCCACTGTATGTCATGGGGGGGTGGGGGGGTGGAGAGTATGGGAGGGGTCCCGATATCTCCCTCACCCTCACTCACATCCACACCCTGCCCACCCAAGCTCCATGCTGCAGCCACCACCCTGGGCACAGACTCCACAATGCCGCCAGCCCCAGCCCCAAGCTCTGTGCTCCTGCCCAGCTGCAGCCCTGCCCCTGCCCCCAGCTTCCCTACCTGCTGCATGGAGGGAAGGGGACACTGAGGAAGCTGGCAGCAGCAGCTAGCAGGGCTTGGCCATTCTGCCCACGAGGGTGGGAGCAAGGCATAACAGGGTACATTGTGGCGGGCACAGGTGCCTCGCTCCCACCCTCATGGGCAGAAGGGCTGGGTGGGATGCAATTTGTTGGTGGGCACCATGGGTCAAATTAAAGTGCCTGGTGGGCCGCATCCGGCCTGCAGGCTGTATTTTGCCCACCCCTGAGCTAGGGGAATTTCAGCAACTGGGACAATGCTGATTGGGGGAGAGGGGGGTGAAAAGGAGGGGGCTGGCCTGGAGGGTATTTAAGGCCATATATGAGATAGTCATAGTCCTAGGATTATCCCCCAGGCCTTGCTGGAGTCCAAGTTCCCAGAAGGCTAGCAGGATCATCAGGAAGGCTGATCTCTGAAAATAGCAACTAATGACTAAGTTGTAGCCAAATAAGAGGGCGAGAAGCTTTACTTGTCTTTGTTTGATCTGGTCATTTTTTGTTGTATAATTCTTGCTTCGTATCGTATACTGCTGTTTGTTACCTTACTTGCTTGTGGTAAAGCATGATCTCAGGGCAAGTGATATTCCAGGCTTGCCCATTCTATGGAAGGGGGGGACCTAAAAATCATTCACAACCCAAGGGGAAGCTATCTGGAGGTAGCAGAGATTCTCCTGATGCGGCTGTAGGGTCTGGGATAAGGACAGTGGAGCCAAGGCTTGCAGATACAAGGAGTTATCTTAGAGCAAACCTTGGTCTGTTCCTTGGGACAAGCTGCAGGACAGCAGGGAGAAATGTAGGGCTCCAGGGGTGCCTACCAGACAGATTAGCGATAGAGATAAGCAAGTGTGAAAAGATAAGTGCAGGCTCAGGCTCATCCCTGCCCCCACTGCAAGGAGGTAAATGGGGTGCTGCTCATGCATAAGGTTTATGGAGGGGTGCCTCAAGTCAAATGAGGTTGAGAACCACTGCATTAGGGACTAAGCGCATGCTCTACTTGAGTGAAGAGTACAGATTTAGGGAATTTTGGAGAAAACTACTTCTAGAATGTCTAAATTCTGAAGTCAGTTTATTACAGTAGCAGTACCAAGCATTTACACTTGCTTCCCTTTCCTGTACTTCAAATAGGAAACTACTCCAGGAAACATTTTACAGAGGTAGATGGTAAGTAAGATGCACCCCTCTGAGAACAATGTGACCTCTGAAAAGCTACTACAAACTAATCAATTTATAAAGATTATTTTGAAATTATTACTGTTTATCTTGATTTCTATAGCTACTATTCTTATTCCAGTCAAACACAGTGGTTCTTCCTCCTTACCGCAATTGTTAACCCCCCACCCCAATTTCAACTTATTCTGTTAATTTATTCTACGTAATAAACCGGTGATTGTCAACCGCTGTTGTACCAAAACTGCATCTAATTCAGTAGCCTAATGTAGCAATTTTTGGTTCTTATAAGCAGTAAAGATGAAACAAAAATGTTTCCATCCCTCCAACTGGCAATATCATCTTTTTAAATACATGACTTTCAAACTTGTCTTACATTCTAGCAAAAAAGACATTCCAGTACACACTGTTGCTTGAATCGTGTGCGTCTCTTTAAATAGACTGAAGTTACTGGGATCATTCAAAATTCCCTAGCCCAGTTTTCTCCATGTTTTATTACATCAAATAAGCTGCTTTAATGCTCAGAAGCCATTTGCAGAAGCAAGTGTAAATCACTATCCCAGAGCTCATATTGCTTTCTGTTGAGAGAACAAATTTCAGTTCATTTTAGTTAATGAATTAACAGTGACTTTTGAGAGGGCCTAAATTAACAAAAATAGCAGCTAAACTAGAACCATCTACTGACTAGTACTGAGGAAAGTGGGTCAATGCAAATGCATCCTGCTACCATCTGGAACAGGTTACCCAGAAAGGTTGTGGAATCTCTGTCCTTGGGGGTTTTAAGACCCAGGCAGAGAAAGCCTTGGCTGGGATGAGCTAGTTAGGAATGTTCCTACTTTGAGAAGGGGGCTGGACTAGATGACCTCCCGAGGTCCCTTCCAACCCTCTTTTCTATGATTTTAGCATACAGCAAGCCAGTCATAACATGCCATTTGGTTGTCGGGAAAGCCTAACTGAGGAAGTTGGTCGCTTCAATGCACTTCCCAGAGATGTATTTACTCACAATGCAAAAAAACCTATGAAAGTCATCATTAACAACTGATACTCCCTTGCAAAAAAATGCCCGTACGAGTAAGGAATGAATGGGTCCAAGAGACTGTTTCATGTACCAAGAAACTTAACTCCTGAAAGAGAAATAAGACATATCTGGGACAAAGGATAGCCTCATCTGTTATGTGAATAGACAAATATGCTTAGTCCCTTTGTAGCAAAACCCCCAGTTGTTTTGTTTTTTTTGTATTTATTTTAAAATACATTCCCTCCCCTTCCCCAACCATTTCTGACCTTTTCTCTCCCTCTCTTTTCCCTATAGATAAGTATAAGTGAGTTTAGACTTAGGATAAGCTTTAAACATTTTGGTAGCAAGTTTTTGGCTTTGGATATCCACTGTTTTATACTGTATTATTATTAGGTTTGTACTGATTCTTACTGTTGTATATTGTATTATCATTTTCATATTGATTTTTATTGTTTAATATGGATATTGTATGGTTTAAGCCTGTGTTTGTAAGTAAACCAAAGCCATGTCAAGTTTCCATTTTATACGTCAAGCCTCCATCTTCTGTCCTCTGCCTGGGCATCCCATGTTGCAACTGTATGAGTCATGTATCCCTCCCATGTAAATTGGTTCCCGGATGAATGAGTGCGATTGGGAACGATTGAAATATAATGGTAGCAGGCCTCTACTGAATGGCCTGTAACGACTGGGCCATCGCTTCGCATTGATTCATCCAGGAACCACAGACCTCACCCAGGAACAGAGACAAGAACCAGCATTTGAAAGACAAAAGACCCTGCAAAACCAGCAACTCTCACCATTACAGACACCCGAAACTGCACATCCCTGCATGGAGCACACATGCTCAGTACGCCAGGGGCTGACCCTTGACAGGAGGCATGCCCAGGCACTAGGGTCAGACAAGGTCTGCCCCTATAAAAAGGGGCAGTGAAAGACAGACCCAGTGGGACGCCCTCTCCATCTGGACCAGCACCATGCCACACCACCTATCCACCTAGAGGCCCTGCCGGCGACTCCCCTCTGGACAACATCTACTGGACCTCTTTCCAGCTTGGATAGGTAGATATTACCTGCATAGCTCCTCCTACAATTTGGACTCTCTCGCTCTCTCTCTCTCCTCCTGGACTTCAGTGAACTTCAGCCCCTGCACCAAGCCTCTCTAACCCCTGCTGCCATTGTGTGCATGGGTGTGTGCATATGTGGGTGCAAGGGAACCAATTTGACATTGTGTCACCATCTCCCCTGCTTAATAAAGCCACTGTCATTTGCAACCCTGAGTTGGGTCATGTTTTACTGAATCCCAGTCCCTTCCTTATCTTAAATTCCAGCCTCATTCTCTCTCTCAGCTCTAGCCCCCACCCCTCTCCACTAGTTTCCCTATCTCCTCTCAATTCCTACTGCCTTTTCCCTGCAACTTTCTGCTGTCTTTCTCTGCTTTCCTGCTGCACTGCCGCCTGCTGCTTTTCCTGATTCCCAGTTCCTCTTAACTGTCCTGCAGTTTTCTCCAGCTTCCAGCACCTACTGTCACTCCCTGCAACTTCTCTAGCTGCCCTGGAGCCATCCTCTGGCTCCCCAGAGCACTTCTTTAACACCCACACTTTCCCTTAGTCCCATTTTTCCCTCTCCCCATCTACCTTTTCAGCTCCCTGGTAGCTCTGGCTCCAGACCCAGCCTCTGTGCCAGCATGCTTCCCTGTTCTGCAGGCTTTGGGTTTGTCTTTTACTCAATTAAGATCAATTAACCTAAAGTTACCCCTGAGCCTCAGTTCTTCAGACCAGGCCCCTGTAGTCTATCGGTTCTAATCCCAATCCTGGTAACTTTAACTCCCTACACTTCTACTTTCTTACCTTAACCTTTCCCCAGGAATTTCAAGTACACCAAGCACATACATATACACACACATCACAACACCCAACTTCGGAACTCACTTGTGTGTATGTGTAGGTGGGTGGTATGTGTGTAAATTAGTGAATACATGTATATATACAAATATAGATATCATTGTGTGTGGTATATGAATTAGTAAACCACATAGGTGTATTGGATGTGCAGGTGTTGGTAACTGATTCTGTCTAAATTTGGTGTGTAGCGTGTCTGAGCTTAAACTGGTGATGTGTGCATGAACCTAAACTAGTTATTTTGAACGTGTGTATCTGAGTTGCTGGTGTGTGTGTGTGTGTGTGTGTGTGTGTGCGCGCGCGCGCACACACACACACACACACACACACACGGCATTGTGTGCATGATATACGAATTAGAGATCTGTGTCTAACTTTTGGGGTGTATAGTGAATGTATTTGAATTGGTGATAGGTATGCATGTGCCTAGGCTGGTTTGAATGTGTATGTGCCTGAGCTGATAGTCTGCGTGTGTATGCACCTAACTGATTTGTGTGTTTGTATATGTGCAATTGTGTCACACCCTCCTGTCTAACAGCGCAATATTGAGATCCTGAGAGTTGGCCTGACCCCCCAGGGCAACACCTTTTAAAAAGAAGCTCAAAACCATTTCAAATTAAAAGTAATTACCTGAGAGCATTTAGAAGGCCTTCTACACTGTTAGGAGGCTGGTCCTTAAGGACTTTGATGCATCCTTTCATCTAGAAGTGAAAACAAATTAAACACTTGATATCAGGTAAACTCCAAACACAAAATGGTTGCCTCATATATATTCTAGATTCCTTTTTATACAAGTTAGTTGTCTGGATGCTGGACAGATGGCAAAAATTCAATATTCTGAGGTCACCCCTTAAAGCAGAATTGGTTATCTCGTGAGGGGCTATGACACTGAATTCCACACAGCCACAGGTAGTGGAGTATCTACATCAAAGTCTGCTGTGTGGATCTGAAGGGAGATTTATCTTAAAGACTGTTTTCAATTAATGTCTGCCTGTCTCTATGTGCTAGGAGGCGAGTATGCAGGCCATGTGGGAGGGGGGGTAGCGGGGTGGCTAAGCCCAGGGCAACCTCCCCTCTCTCCCCTACCTTCCTAGGGCAGTGCAGCAACAGCAGCTCATCATGATAGGGAGGCAGGATGGCTACTTGGTGCACTGCATCATGCTCTGTCCTATGTAGGCCCAGCCACCAGCAGCTGCAGTGCCAGGACTGCGCAGCACCAACAGGAAGCTGGGGAAGCAGGGAGCTAAGGAGTCCGAGCGCTGTGCATCTTGGTCTGGCCCTGACTGCAGCAGAATGAAGCAGCGCAGGGCAGAGCCCTTCCTCCTCAGGCTCCTGGTGGCAGCTGGATAGGATCAACTGGTCGCCTTCCTCCTGCCCCCGCCCCAACAGCTCAGCAAAACTCATTAAGTGGCCCTCCAGACCAAATAATTGCCCACCCCCGCCCTACACCCAGTGCAATGCAATATTTATTTTTAAATATTTTCTCAGGTTTAAACATGTAGTTTTACAGTACGTCAGGCTGTGCATTTCAATTACAGAACAAAAGGAAGGTAGAAGGCTAGAAGCCATGTAAATCAGTTAGGATAATGGCAGTAGAAGAATTATGGAACAGTGGGAATAGGTTGTACCACCCTGGGCTGCTGATCTGTCAAACGTTCCAATATTTAATTAAAATTATACAAGCACTTCTAAAGATGTAGATTTCTGGATGCTGCTAGATTTCACTGAAAACTTGTTTTCTGCTTTTCCTCTTAAAATACGTTTGCTTGTGTACTTCAAAGTACATGAAGGAATTCTTGCCGTATTGGCAATATAGGAGGCTGATTGCATACAATAACCCAATTAAGAGAATCTCCAAGGATGTGTATTTGTTACTAATTAGCATATTGAAAAAAATCACCGCAAGATAGGCGAAGAATAAGTAGTGTACACAGAATTAAATTATACACACACACACACACAGATTGGGGGCACCACACTTACATCAATTTTTGAAGTTTTGGCAAAAGCGCCCACTGGATGCACATGGTCATAGAGTATGATGACACCCACCATTACCCTCAGACAGAATGATACTGTTTCCTCATTTGTAAACCTGCTTCTGTATTCACTATCATGTTAAAACAAAAAAAATATAAATCAATCAGTTACTAACATTAAACACCATATCAGACTTCCACATTTAATGCTGGAAAACAGGTGACCCAGAGAGAAAAGACCCAGACCCAACACAGAAGTCACATTATCGTACCCAAAGCCTATTATTTATAGATTGGAACAGCAACTCTCTCAAACCCAAAGTGGTATCCTACTACTATAACAGCCATTTTTCTTAGTATTAGGTTTTCAAATTGTAAGTTTTCTTGTATTCTTTTGCAAAAACAAAACAATAACAACAAAAAAATCTTCTTACTCCCCAAGTAGAGACCTTTGGTGTAATCTGTTCCCAGTTCAAGCAAGCCAGGATTTTTGCGGTCAAAAAATTGGTATTGCCCAAAATTAATGAGCGAGGCTTAAGTGCTGTTCATCAGCAATTTAAGATGCTCTTAAGGGCAGCATAAATAAAAAGTTGGGAGTCCCTTCTTCATAGCTGTCAACACAACACACACAAATACTGCGGTCTTCGACCAACCGCAGACCTTGCTGCTCTTCAGTTAATAAGGACATACGTTCCCCCGTACCCAAACAGTATATCACTAGCAACTTGTTAAGGATCCATAAACAAATAGATTTTTAAAACTTAATGCATGGGAGTTTTGCTTTTTCTTCCACATAGCCACAACTTGCTATATTTACTCTACAGCTACAGCCTTTAAGCTTAGCAGTCCTCATACTGAATATTCCTCACTGAAAGGTACACGTAGACGTGCTAGATACAGTACTACACCTCCCCTGAATTCCCAGGAAAGATCAATTATATGCACTGTTTAAAGCCATCTCTCAAAATGTGCAATAGGGCAGTTGTGCTCAGTTTCTACATTTTCCTGAACTATACATGAGGCAAAACCATTCACAAAAGTACCAAAAGGACTTCTACCTTTCAAACTCTTCTCTACTTCTGAACTTTAAAGTATTCTCAGAGAAATAAAACTGTCATTTGTGCAGCTAGCCTAAACGAGAAGTTAATCACAACAAGACTTGCAAGGGAATTTGATTTTAACAAGTAATGCCTTTCCCAATTTGCTGATTTATCTATATTTAGTTTTCATCTTAAAGCATTATGGGCTAGGCCAGGTTTGTCTATAGGCCTCTAGGTCATTTGTAAACAAAATTAAGAACTAAATTCAGCTCATACTTACGGAGTTTCCAGCATGACTCTGCACACACTAGCCATGGTGCTTAAACAGTCCGTAGTATTTTCTATGGGTAAATTTTTATTCTGTGAAAAGGAGAAATGAGTTCTTACATAGTGTATCAAGAAAGAATTTTATAGTATAAAAACCTATTACAATTCCAGGTCAGCACACACATCAGAACTGGTGTCCTAGTTAAATAAATGTTAGTACTTCATCTAAGGAAATATAATATTACAGTTTAATATGTTAAGATCACAGTGATCGACTCTCCCTCCACTATTAGTTTCTTTATTGTACACTTCATTTTGACTCAACATTGATTTTTGGGGAGTTTGTTCTTCTGTTATTTAAGCAAGGAGCTTAATCGACATGCCATCAAGAGAGGGAACAAATCTGCCTTGAAAGATAAAACAGTATTTAACTGGAGATTATCTGCTGCAATATTTATAATGACAATTCATTTAAAACAAACATTTTAAAAATTGTACAGGGTGAAAAAAAATAAAAAGGCAATTTTTTTCAAAACTTAGTCAAAAACTGCAATTTCAAAAAGTAGAAGACCTGCTCATTGATTGCTATCTGAATTGTGTACTTTTTCTTTTGGAAGGAAAGCTTACAGATGAACTTAAAAGTTTGCACTTTTACACTGAAAAGAGCACAAAATACTTCAGTAGCGCACAGCATGAGGTGGGTGGGTGGTGCACGTGTCCCAGGTGCCACTCAAGGAGAGGGCCGCCTTCACCCTCCCATCCACACACTGCCTGCACCAATGGTTGCAGGAAGCAGTTGGTGCTGGCAATGTACGTCAGAGAGAGCAAGGCATTCTGGGAATTGTAGTTTTGCAGAGCAGCAGTGGAGTTCGCAGTTGTTATGGGGAAAACCAAATCCCATTTTTGCCATCAAAACCAACATATTTTTTGCTCTTTTGACATGGGTGTTGGCAGCAAAACAGGGTGAACGTTTCCCCTTGGCAGCAAAAAACTCCACTGTCACTTTAGAAAGCTACGATTCCCAAAACACCTTGCATTCCATGACACACGCTGCCCAGCTACTGAGTGCTGCCTTGTCTGGAAGCCAGAAGGTATGGGAGGGGGAGAGGGAGCTGCGGGGCAGGGCATGGTGAGAGGACACATTCTTCGGATGTTATGCCGCTGGCAGCGCGTGCACTCTCCAGGCAAGAAAAACCTTTACCGAAGTAGCTAGAGTTACAAGGCACAAAAGTCAAGACATGGAAAGCAATAAGAACAGAAAAGTCACAGTAGCAGGGGGTTGTGGACTGTATGTCAGATACTTAAATGGGTAGTTCCAGAACAAAGAGTAAGAAGTTACTTTCACTCTAGGATACTATACAGGTTAAAGATTTATTTTAACCTAAAAGTCTCTTCTTTGTAAGTACATTCAACTACAGGTATCAGAAAACACTCAAAGGATCTTGGAAAAAAAAGTCAGAAGTGCATGAGCACATGGACATGTGCATGTGAACAAACATGGAGTTTCCCTTAATTTGCTTTTCCATTTCAACCACAGAAAAAACACATACACAAACACACACTTCATTTGCTGCTACTTTGCTTTTTAAGAAGGCTTTTTAAATTAATTATGGCTACAACCAGGAAAGTCACTGTCAAAAAGCCCACAAGCTGTCTCTCGCACACTTTTCCTGAACAAAATATGTTTTTACTGATTTTTCCAGGCCAGAATTACTATAGGACACCTGCCACATATCTACTGGAAGGTCAGTTGAATCTGTCCTTTCTTTAAATAAAAAATTAAAATTAAAATTAAAAAAAAAAAAAAAATGTACATGGCTGGCTGTAACACTTAATTTTTACAAAATGAGTACATCTGATCTGTAAATTAAAGCTGTGAAAAATCTCTTCTGAAAGTCGCCAGGACAAAAACCTGTAACATGGCTGCAATTATCCTTCACAGGATAGCCGCATTTTAAGGTGCACCTTCCAAAGTAAAGAAAAACCTATTAACAGATACTCACCTCTGACACAAATTTTGTTGTCGCATCGCTTAAGGTTTTCAACATTGGCGTTGCTTCAGCATAAAATAAAGACATTCTGTTTGCCAATTCGTTATTTACTTCATTTTCTCCCTCTGCCTAGAGGAAAACGGATACAAGAATCAACAACAAACTGATTCTTATGTTAAGCAAACAGAATACCATAAAGACAAAACAATTTAGTGCTGAGGGTTTTTTTTTCCAGTTTTGGAGGGGTTACCTACTGGGACATTGTTAATCCTCATACGGCTCAAAGTTCTTCTGTAATAGCTGAAGTCATTCTGTATAGCAGGATTTGTCATCTAAAAAAATATAAAAGTGAATATGTGTGTGACATATTACAAAATAGGATCTAGAAAGCAAATTTATGAAGGTTTGCTAGTGAGAGGTGAGGAGCATATCAGACTGCCAATTAAGTCACTAGGTTTATACAGAATGCCCAGCGCCTTGGAGTGCTTTAAAAGTACGTATGATATGTATATAGCAAAGAACAGGCAATCTTACATTTTCAGAATAAAAGCTAATCTTCAGGGGAAGATAAGATGTTCTAATGAGTCTGGGTTTGTGAGGTAGAGGAAATCTTGCCAGTTTAACTCTCCTAGGTTTACACCACTGTACCAATACCCATGCAATTCGTTTTCTGGGGCATTAACACAAAAACTTGTTGGAATGAGGAAGCATAGGGTTACAGATGCATGCAAGTGTACTATGACAGAATGGCCAATTTTTAATGGGGAAGGAAGGAGGGGGGAGCAGCAGCAGG